TCCTCCTCCAGCATCCCATCCCCACCTGGGAAAAGCCAGTCTGTCCCCAAAGGAAAGGGTTCCCTTAAGGTACTCTGACCAAAGAGAGCTGAGAAACCTTCCCAAAGGGCTCCACAAATCTCGTTTATCTTACTTTTCCCGATTTCCAACCAAGAGCTGAGCAGTCAGACCTGACAGCTGCCTGCTGATTTACGCTGCGTGCGCCAGGGACGGCTCAGCTGTGACACACGGCTCAGATGCAGCTGCTGGGGATTTTTTATTTTTTTATTTTCCTCCTTGAGTTTCCAGTGCTAGGAAGCAACACGTGGCTGTGTTTGGGCAGCTCTCCAGGCAGCCTGGCCCTGCTGCTCTCTGGATTCAGGCTCTTCATGTGCTGTGAAGCAGCAGCAGCCGGGGAGAGGTGCAGCTGCTCCGTGGGCGTGGGGAGGGGAGAACAGCCCCAGGCTCCACAACCGGTGCAGCATTTCATGATGAGGTGGAGCTATGGAAGTGCCACAGTCCCCAGGAAATCCTCCCAAGCCTGGAGTCATGCTTACACGTGTGAGATAAAAAGTCTTCTCCTAATCTTAGCCAAGTAAGTCTTGAGGCTCTCGTTAAAAAGCAGGGCTGGCATCACTCTCAAGCCCTCATCTATCCCATCTTTGTATCCCAAAGAGTGAATAACACTCCCTCACATTTTAAACATTCGAGCAAATAATTTCTAATTTGCTTTTAAGAGCTTCCAGTGATTAAGATTCCTTAATTGCCAGGCTATGACCTCCAGTGCCTTTCTTGTTAGATCATTCTTTGATGTCTACCCAGCCATGTTCTGATGTCTTCCAAGACTACAACTTCTTTCCCCTACCACAACAGGAAAATCAGATTATATTCTTGTTCTTTCCAGGTTCAAACACCATTCCCATGGTTTCTTTTGTGTAGGTTTTATTCATAAGAAGTAGCTGTACCTGTAATCATCCCTGCACTATGCTGCCTGCTCCAAATTTCACATCAGTGACCCCTGAGGTAATTTCTCCTCAGCCAGTTTAGACCACGAATTTTCCACTTGCTCTTGCACTCATTTCCTACCCCAGAAGGAGTGAAGATAAATAGCCCTAAAACTAAGGCAACTCACCCTTTCCTCATAGCTTGGAGGAACTAAACAGCACCTCCTTCTGCTCTATGAAAGAGGCTGGAGATTCCCATGGGCAGTGGATCTCAGGGCATCCCTCCCTTCTCCCCATCACAGCAAAAAATAAAAGGAGAGGACAGGGGTTACACTTGTGCTGTTAATATTGACACCAGTGTAATTTTGAATCTCTTGTCCTGCAGATCAATGGAAAATCAACTTTTGCAGTGAAGCAACAGCTCTCGTGATCATATTCTTTTGCAACTCCAACTGCAAACAGATTGTCACTGAAATCACCACTATTTGCCTGGTTGCCTCCCACAACAAACAGGCCCATGCTCAATGTCCTCAGGTGCTAGCACTCTTTGCTTTTTCCCTACCCACAGGAGATTTTCTGATTTTTGGCTTTGGAATCAAAGAGTTTCTAAAAGCTGGCATATGTAAAACACTTCTCAAAGTGTAGAAGGCTGGTGTGGCGATGGCATGGAAATAACAGAGCTCAGGGAACCGTCGTGGAAGATGACATTTGAGGTAGAATTGTTAAGGACAATCTGACTTCGAAATCATCATGTCCCACAGGGGTTCTGCAAAAATACTGTTTTCAGACCTAGAAAGGTCTTACTGTGTGGGTTTTTTTGTTTGTTTGTTTTGTTAGAAAACTATGCCTGCCTGCTCTATCTATAGAGCTGCTTTACAGGTGTGTATCACAGAGGGAAAAATAACTCATAAAGACAACAGCAAGTCTGGATGCTATTTAATTGAAAACAGCTGAAGCTTATAAAAACAAGGCTGACAGAGAGAAGAACACAGCAGGAAGCTGCCAGGGTACCGGTAAGAGTTCTGAAGTGCATTGCTAGTGCAAGTAGGTAGGCAACAGAAGGAGGATCATGTTCCAGGCGAGCTGGGTACTGCTGGGCTATGACAGCTGGAGAGACTGAGCCTCAATCTCCCTTGTGAGCTCTTCATCCAAGGCTTTCTACCAGGAGAGAAAACCAAGAAGAATCAGGGACCACGAGACAGCTTCCACGTGCTGCTGACAAACACACACATCTGCAGTGACCAAACCCTGGGAGCCTGTCAGCAGTGATGGAATAACCCTGGTGTTGAGCAGGATGGACTTGTCCTCCAAACGGAAGGCTGGACAAGCTCAGCTGCCTTCACTCTGAGCCCCAATGTGATTCTGAACACGTCCCAGCTTACTGGTCCTCCCCAGAGGTGAGCATTCTGACCTCAGAACAGCTGCAGGCTGGTAAGGGGAGCCTGTACTCCCTCAATCAAAAACCCAGGCATTCTCACCTGAAAATGTGCAAAATGCTCTTACCCAGATGTGATTTTTGATCACAGGTTTAAGGCTTACCACTTGTGCTTTACGAGCAAGCAGGCAGTAGCCCAAAGGAACAAAAACATGTTTTATGGGGCTCAAACGTGGCTCAGCTCACTCAGGAAAGCTACAAATGAACTTCCCAAACAGCTTTAGGGTGTTTGGCTCAACAGATTACACCTGCATGGAGGACATGGGCACTGTGTTTTACAGGGAACGTCCCCATTGCAGCATACAAGGCAGAAGTTGACTAAAATAAGCCTGGAGCCCTCTGAGAGTTCAGGAGGAGCAAGGAAGATTCTGAGACCTACAGTGAGTGGATAAACATTCCAATAGGCAAAATTCATGGGGCTACAGCTACCTAATCTGCACTGATATCACTATGCCAAACTGCCTTTGCAGCTCAGACATCAGTTCACCAGTTCCCCTGATCAGTATCTACAACTTCTGCCTCACCACATCCCCCCATGAGAACATTCTGTAATAAATCTGTAAATAAATCTGTAATCAATTCATACATGTAGCTCCTGGAAAGATAATAAATCTCTTACAAGTTCTTGTCTCACTTCTTCAACCTTCACCTGCGCCAGGGGAATGCTCTAATGAGAGAAAATGGCACAAAAATCAGCATTTCATCAAGATACAAGTCCCTGCACCTTTACAAGAGTCTAATGATGAGCCTCAGGTAAATCAATGGACAATTAATGAAGTTTTGTGTACGCACTTCACATGCAGAAGGTACTGCCATTAAAAGTTATTGCCATTGGTTTGGTTTGGGCAATCACGCATTTTTCAAGTCTGGTATGGCCTGAAGTCTAAAGAAACCCCTTCATTTTAAGCAATTTCCCAAATCTACCAACCAAGGGACTTGATTTCAACAGTATTTGTGCAATACTTTTCCAAAGCACAGTAAGTTTGCAGGGAAAAACCTCCTTCCCTTCCTCCTGCCTGCACCAGGGGCTCTCCCAGTCTCCACTGACAGCAAGGCTGGAGGTGGGAGTTGGAGAACCTAATCCCATTTGAATGTCCTGTTCCACCTGAGAGAAGGAGAAAGCTGCCTCTTGGAGGAAGATGGATTAAACAGAGCAGCAGTCCCACATTTCTAGCCACAGCCTTTTTTTTTTCCCTAGGAGCAAGACATCAGTGTTTGTACGAGGGAGAAAACTGCATTTTCATAGAGCACACTCAAGAGAAATCAAAGAAAATGACGGAGCAGCCAGGTCAGGGGACAAAACCTACAATTGGCTATTTCTTCAGGATCCTTAAAATTCTGTTCAGAGCTCCAAGCTCTGCAACACATGCTGTGTCCACCAATATGGCCTGACGAGCATTACAGCTAAAATACTGGCAAATCTCAAAAAGTTGGTTATACTAGGGGATTCCTTTTCTTCCATATTTCTTTGTCCAATTTCTAGATAATTCACCCGAATACTAATTTACCCAGCAAATGTGTCTACTTTGTTAGAACACAGTTTGTCTGACAAGAAGCTTAATTTCTTGGCTTTGATTAATAAATAGAGATCAAGTCTTTGGTTTGCATCATTACCAGACCTGTAGGACATCTGCCTGTCCACCAAGGGCATCACAAGGATATCCCTTACATTCTGAAGGCCACTAAAATTAACCTGATGGTAAATACAACATAACAGTGGAATAAATAGTTACAAGAGGTAATTCAAGATAGCATGCCAGTTCCGTCTTCAATGGCTCTAATTTTTTACGCAGTGCAGCCAGCTCCTGCAGAAAGAGAAAGGCAGATGATATTCTAGGGAATTATTTGCAGAATTGATGGAAATGGGTGAGATAGATCCACAGTCACCTACAACATTTCAGAATTTGAGAGATTTCATCCTCTATAAAACACATGGAAAACCAAAGTTTTGCACATGCAGCAGCAAAAAGACTCTCCCATATGCTTATCAAATGGGAGTAATTTCTTTTTGGGACTGCAAACTGAGTACCTTCCACAATCCCAAACTCTTTTCAAATAATCAAAGTTAAATAAAAAAGATAAAGCCATTTGTGCTGCCCATTTCACTGATGTCCTGGCAAAGCAGTTCTATAAATGTCAAGGAGTCAAACTGTACCTTATGCTTGGGCTCTAGAAGATGACAATCCCAGAAAATTTGCCTGTGGCTTTTTGGATGCAAAATTCCAACAAAAATTAGTCCTGGTCAGTACCCTCGTGTAACACTGGGCAATGTGAGCACTGCCACCCAGTGCTGGTTGGTGAGAAGCACAACAGAGAAACCAGGAAATCTGTTTTCACTGCTCCACTCGAAAACATAAAGGAAAAGGCAGCAAAAGTAATCAGGAGAAAGACTGAGTTCCCACTACAATAACAGCAAAAAATATGAAGATGTATTGAGTGCAGAGGACAAAGATGTAAAATCTGTAGTTACAAACTCAAGAAATGTGCTTTTTTTTTAAGATGTTCCACTAGGCTTACAATAAAGCTGAAAAATGTTATGTTTAAAGACACAGAAAAAAAACCAACCAAACAAACAAACAAAAAAACCCAAACAAACCACAAAACAAAAAAACCCCACACAGTGATTCTGAATTTGGGTTTCTTTTGACCTTATCTCCTTTTTTTTCAGTGTTTGGAAGAGATTTGCTTCACACAAAGCAAGAATCACATGGGTCATTCTATCAAGAAACTGTAATAATTCTGTGGACATAGTCCACAGAATATCCACTCTGTTTATAACACAGATCAGAAATAAAGGAGGCAGATCTGTTTTCAGCGCCAGGCAATTTATTCTGTGGAAATTCTCCAGTAGATGCCTCTAGGAGAGACAAACCCACCCAAAAGAGCCCAGTTCATGGGAATCCACCTACAGGATTTTTATTTGTGCTTCCTTTGGCCATTAAGATTTGCTCAGGCAGCCAAAGAGCAAACTACTATTCCTGAAAGCACCCAACAAGCAAGCCTGGCCTGTCCCACTGTAGCAACATCCCTCCTGTATCCAAAAACCTACCTCAGATGATTTCACCAGTGCCCCATGTGTCAGGGATTGGTCCAACTCCCTGGTAAAAAGCTCATCCTGCAAACAGGAGAGAGCACAAAATGCAACAAGGAGAAAGATTTCACCACTTCCTTCTGTTTAAGCAGGCAGGGAAGAACACAGGTTGTCCATGGCAGAAACGTGCGCTACTGGAGCCACAGTGATAGCTGGTGTACAAAATGAGGTGGTGCTAAAATTTGTATTAAGAATAACAAGTTTTTCCAGAAAAGCACTGGGAGAAGGGCACACGGCAAGGCTGAAGAAAGGTTTCTCAGGAAAATGTCAATTGTAACACAACACTTTCCATCCCGTGCTTGTCAAGGTATCAGGTATGGCTTCACTTTAGCCATAAAGCAACCTGCCAGAGTTTCTCAGGGAATGAGGAGACAGCACTGTACTGATCACAGGGTGCACTGAGGAGAGATCAGCAGGGACAACTGAACTGTATTCACATGTTGTCCTGTTAGCTCAAGAGTCCCCAGTACTGGAGTTCAGGAAGCTTATGGAATATCTCTGTAACTACAAATTTGGGCTCAACCAACCACGGCTGTGTCATCCTACCACAGTGTCATGTAAGAAAACTCCTTCCACCTACCTCAGCACCACAGATCCTTATTTTCATATCCTTAGATTTGTCTTCCAGGAACTTCAGGTTCATGGATTGAGTCACTTCTTTGGTCTGTTGTATTCCCTGAGATTTCTTCAGGTTTTCAATTTCCCTTAAAAAATAACACAGAAAGAAAAAGCTGTTACATTCAAAGATGTATCAGTACACAAATACTGTTACTTACCTATGCTCAAGCTAAACTCTGCAATACAACAAACACATGAAAGAAGAAAACTGAGAAAACCCTGCATTTCCCTGTGAGACTTTCCAATGGAAACCTATACAGTGTTACCTCCAGAACGCCACAGACCAGGGAAAATAGAGGCAAAGAAGAAAGCCATATGCCTAAAAGCAAAGGGTAATAATCTCGTGCATAATTCCCTAACTCACTTAGAGACCTGTTACACGAGCTAAACCTCAGATCAAGAGGAGGCAAACCTGCAGAAAGCACACGGGAATGTCGTTTACAAGGCCAATTGCCACTTTAAAAGACAAAAAAAAACCATTCTAGAAATAATTAGACTGGAAGGGAGCTGTGGAGAGCATCTGGGCCAGCTCCCACCAAGGCTGGGGTTGATTGTGCTGCGCTTTGCAGACCTCTTCAGATACATCCTCCAGAGAATGACTTGACACTGATTCTTTTTTGAGTTATCACTATTATTACGTCTTCTACACACTGGTTAAGAGAACTTCTTACCTGAGAATGGTTTTTGTTTTGCCTCCCTTAGTCTGACTACAGAGGCCATGCTAAATGTGCTAAGAAAATCAGATTTGTCTTCAGCCTTAGACAAAAGTAACTGGTGGAAGATGGAAACTTGTATCTGAAAACAGCTTGTAGATCACTTTTGCTTTAAAATAATTGGTTTGATGCTTTGCCAGATCTCTTTTGACTACTGAAAGTATCCATAACACATGGGTTTTGATAGATACTTCCAAATACTTTGAATTGGAGATGTGTCAAACCCCTAAAAATTCAGTTTTCCTTGTTAGTTACCATAACCAACATTGCCCAAGATAGAAATCACCAGTATTACTTTAATCTTGCCCTCTTCTTCGTTCATTACTCACTTCTCTAACTGCTTCTCCATCATCAGTGCTGAAGTTAGTTTTTTTGTGAGGGTCCTCAATTTCTGTTCCATTTCTTCGTTTTTTGATTTTGTTTCACACAGTTCCAAGGTCATGTCATGGATGGCACTGTACAAGCTGGTGAAGAGAAAATCAGTGGGAATGCTCAGGAGTCAGATTTTCTAAAAGTCAGAGTTGTTGTTATTCTTTTCTCCACACCTTAAATGAATGACTTAGTTTCCTCTTGATGTTATGGCAGGAGTAAATTTAAGTAAGATATACCAAGGGAATTTGCTTTCCATAACTAACACAGATTTCCACGTGGAAGGGAAAACAGCCCAGCTACCTGAGTAAGTGAGCAAGTGAACACAACTGGCACTCTGGTGAATAAAACCACCACGTGCTCCACTCCCGGCTTGCCTCACTGCCTTTGAGAGAAACTGTATTCAGTCCCTGAAAATGCATGGTCACAAGATGTGCCCGGCAGCATCTGAGTACCCTCCTCTTCCCAAGCGGCCCAAAGCTCTTCCCCCTCCAGCTCAGGAAGAGAGATGCAAGTGCCAAGATCCTAAATATCACATAAAAATTGGTTTCAAAGTAGACTTTACCCCTTCTCTGCTGCAAGTGTTGCAGTGCCACGGGCCAAAGCCATGCTAGGGAGAGAGGCCCAAGGAGACCAGACTAACAGATGCCATTTCTCCATGGCAGAGGGAATCTCCTTGCATGAACTGAGGCCAGATGAGACAGACAAGGATGAGGAGCTGAGGCTGGAAGAGCAGTCACAGTCCCCCAGTCCTTGCCTAAGCAGTGTGAACGCTGCTGTAGCCTGGGATACCTGGCACAACAGTCCAACTGGCAGCAGCCTGCAGCCACTGACCACAAAAGCAGGGGAAAAAGGAGGGATTTAACTCCATCCCAGGCCCCTCTCAGGCTTCAGAGATTCCTGTGCTGGGGTAACCTAGAGCTAGGAAATTCAAATGTAGTCTTCACTCCTTATCCATCCTCACATAGTACACCCAAGACCTTGGAGCACAGGTGCACCTCTGCTTGCCAAAAGAAAAATTCCTCCCTCCCTAAATGACATTATTGCCACCTCCCTCCACTGTGCTGAAAAGGACCACAAGGGTCTCTGTAAGAGGGAGAAATTAATTCCAAGTGCGTAAATGAAGCCTAAACAAGACCTATGAAATATATATCTATTACAGATGGGTGGGGTTTTTTCCAAGTACAGTTTTGGATTTTCACCCCTCTCCTCCTCCTATCACATGTTGCTTGTTTTGGTGGTTGGCAGGAGGGTGCTAGCACTTTGTGCTCAGTTCCCATGCACTCCAAAGCTGCCCAAGGGGTGAAAAATAAGCCTGACAAAGAAGATTCCTAGTGCCGAGTTTGGAGCTGCCAATGTGGAAAAGCAGAGGAAAACAGCACAGACCCTCACCACGAATGCAGAGTGTGAAGAATTACCTGGTAAGAGACGTGTCCTCCATGTTGAGTTCTGCTGCATTTTGTACCACGTCAGGGAGGTCATCGTCGTCCTCTTTGGACATATTGTCTTCCAAATATCCCAGGCTTTCTTCAAGAATATCATGACAGTAGTGAGCTGGAAAATATACACGAAACAAAGCAGTGATTTTTTTAACATTACTGCTCTTTTATGGAACACTTCAAAGCTAGAACCCAATCCCACACTGGGAACTTAGCTACCTGCCTGTTGTTGGAGGAAAAAGACACTTTTAAAACAGGATTAAACATACAAAACTGCTGCCATATCTCCATTTGTCAAACAAATTCAGTGTATAAAGGGAGAAAGCACTGCTCCACTCCGTCCCTGATCAGTCTGTCTGACAAACAAGAGCTCACCCTTGTGCTACAGCAATGAGCACATGCAGGTCACCTCCCCACAAAGCCCACAAGGCTGAGCCTTGTTCATGGCAAATCCAGGAAGTCTGTCTCCATCATTTTTTGTTTGGTGGCAAGGCACTTGATAGAACAAAAACATCTTCACGTGTACCATGCCAGCCTTTGCACAGAAAAGCAAAATTCCTTCCTGAGAAAAGCCTATGAAGTGACAGTCCTTTATTATGTATTTTAAAAACACACTATGGTCCCCTGAACCACTCACTTGCTCAAAAAAACCCAAACAAATTAAGAAATAGTCACTCTAGGCAGCTTCAGCACAACGTAATCATCTCAATGTTGTTTCAGGCTCCCCCAGGGCTTTCCTTAACAGTGGCTTAGCACCAGCTCAGACTCTTGAATGAGCTGCAGGGATACTTCCCTCTCTATCCAGGCAATATTTCCATGCTGTGCTATCCAGCCCAGCAGACTAGGAGGTTTTAGCAATTAACCTGCTTGTCCACATTTATGGCCTGCTCAAGATGGCTTATAAAATTGTCCTTGAGTCATCTTATGTCGCTGTAAGTTGTAATGAAAACCGCATTAAAAAAAAGCTGAGTCTGTTTCAATTACATATATTTATATATATTCCAAAGTTTCCAACAAATACAATCTTCAGGACCACTCAGAACAGCCTGACTCAGGTGGAACTGAGAAATGGAGCTTCAAACTCACCTTCTGCTTTATATTTGCTTGTCCTGTCCTTCATGTCCTCTGTCCACAGCATAACATACTTGTCTCTCTCTTCATCGCTCTCCATAATTTCATGCAAATAATCCACTGTCCTTTCATTCACCTCATATTCCAGAACACGCTCAGCCCCATATATTTTCTTTAACCATGAAGTAACCTGCCAGAGAAGGGAGACAAAAGAGCAAGCAATCATGTGAAATGACAGAAAATAGCTGATAGACGTGAAGAATGTAAACCACTGCAAACTCTGCATTCCTGAAGAGCAACTCCTATATCAGTCCAGGAGGCATGGGTGAGAAAAGGGGAGACAAATTCCTTTCCCTCTCCTTTAAACACCCTCTGTGGTCTAGAAGACTATATTATATCCTTTTTAATCTCCCTCATTTCTTGGAATACCTGCTTATCTCCATGTGATAAAGTTTTACCTTTTTATTCACGTGACCTCTTGGCTACAGACACAGTAACAACCCAATAGATGTTAAATAGGTGTTTGGAAAAATGGTGAACACTGTGTTAAAGTGTGTGGGATAAAAGTGCCTGAGCCATCACTAGGAGCAGTCTCTCTGCAGGAGAACAGGAGTCACCATAAAGTGAAGCCACAAGCCCTGCAAAGCAGTTGTACCATCAAAAACAAGGCCAGAAATAAAAGATCAACATAGTGCTCTAAGGTAGGGCTGTGATCGAGGAACCATGGAATTGTTTGGGCTGGAAAAGCCCTCCAGGATCATCCATTCCCCCAGCACTGCCCAGCCCAACAATGACCCACGTCCCCAGGTGACACATCCACACAGCTTTTAAATCCCTACAGGAATGGGGACTGCACCACTGCCCTGGGCAGCTCTGCCAGGCCTGGACAACTCTTTGAATGAAAAAATTTTCCCTAAGATTCAACCTAATTAGATTGGAAAGCTTAGATTATGACCAGTAATAACTGAAGAACAGGGAAGTTCTACAGCATGTAACGAACATAAACTCTTGCATAAGCCTCCCTAATAAATCTGACGGAGAATGGACGCAGCCGTGTAATTTTAAGTGTATTTTTTCTCGTCCCTCATCCTGCTGCTGTACGCGCACACAAGCAGCGATGGAGAAAACCACCGCAGCATAAGGCGCAAAAAGCACGAACTGTGTGTGTGTGTGCGCGGAGAACTGTGGAGAAAAGAGAAAGCGAGCCCTGCCGGCCCCCGTTACCCGTGTGAGCTTCTCCTGGAAGGAATCGCCACCCGGTTCTCCCGCCGCCGCCATCCTGCCCGGAGCCTGTCGGGAGTGGGCGGCTGAGGGGCGGCGCCGCCGCGGCTTACCGCGGAGCGGGGGGAAATAGCGATGGAAACGTGTTTTAACAGTTAATAGGAGCGTTAAACGCCGTCTGTCCGTTAAGGGAAGATGTTAAAAAAAACGCCAAACGAACCTCAGCAACAGAAAAATTAAACAGAAGGGATGCAGGAGGAAGGCATCGCTAAGTACAGCAGAAAGATGTCTGGGGGTGCGGCTGGACATGAGCCCACGGTGCCCGTGTGGGTAATGGCCCCTGGGCTGTACCAGCCAGGATGTGACACAGCCCCAGGGTTAAAAATAGGGTAGAAACTGTTGTAAAATAGTTGATGGAGTGTTAAGCATGTACTGTTAGTTTGGTTATGGTAAAAGGGGTTTAGTTATGGGAAATACGGTACTCAGCGTACCATATTACACCTAAGTAAAGTGCACCAGCCCCCAGGCGAAACGAGCCAGCCTGGACAGAACTGTAATGGGTCAATTAAGCCCCTTAAACGTTCATGCAAGTGAAGGATCCAAACAGAAACCAATATTAAGGGGCAAAAAAAAAAAAAAAAAAAGGCTAAAAAGGGGCTTCTGACCCAGTGAACCTGTGCCGCCCCATCTGGGACATCGAGGCCATCGCTGCTGAGCAGCCCCAGCACCGGGGCTGCAGCACCCCCGACGGGAGCGCTCCCGTTCAGCCCGCGGGCCCCCTGCTTTAGGCCTTTCTTTTTATTATAATAAATGCTAAAATCACTCTAGTACCAGGAGCTTGCTCTCGTTTTTAACACCGGGGCAGTGCCCGTCCCTGTGCTGGCACTGCTGAGGCACCTCCAGTGCTGGGGACAGCTCTGGGCCCTCAGCACAAGAGAGACACCGAGGGGTTGGAGCGTGTCCAGGGCAGGGAACGGAGCTGGGAAGGGGCTGAGCCCCAGGAGAGGCTGAGGGAGCTGGGCAGGGGCTGAGCCTGGAGCAAAGGAGGCTCAGGGGGGCCCTTGTGGCTCTGCACAGCTCCTGACAGGAGGGGACAGCCGGGGGGGTCGGGCTGTGCTCCAGGGAACAGGGACAGGAGCAGAGGGAGCGGCCTCAGGCTGGGCCAGGGTAGGTTTAGATGGGATAATCAGAAAATTGTCTTCTTAAAAAGGGGTGTGAAGCCCTGGGGGTGTTAAGGCCAGGGTGAGTGGTGGTGTTAGTTCTTAACATCCATGTGGGTGTGGGTTTTTTTTTGTTTTGTTTTGTTTTGTTTTGTTTTGTTTTTCTTCCAGGCAGTTTTACAGAAATTTAAGTGATTTCTGAAATAATCAGCATGGAAAGAATTGGTGAAGAATCACATTTAGTACAACACATGCCAAAGTAGCTGAGGATTTTTCACTCAACCTTTTCAATTCCTAGAAGGGGAATCCACTGGAATCTGTGGCTTTACCAACCTCTCTGGATTACTAGAGGGACCGATCACACTGTGCCTGAGTTTCAGCACTTCCTCACTGCAGACCAAATCCTGTCTCACATGTGAGACATAAAATCATCCCCAGCTGCAGACTGAGGGGTGTGGGGGAAGATTCTGCCCCTGGGCTCAGGTGAGAGCCCACCTGCAGAGCTGCCCCAGCCCTGGCTCCAGCAGCACAAGGAGCTGGAGCTGCTGCAGCCAGTGCAGAGGAGGCCACGGAGCTGCTGCCAGGGCTGGAGCCCCTCTGCTCTGGAGCCAGCCTGGCACAGCTGGGGCTGCTCAGCTGCACCAGAGAAGCTCCAGGGACACCTCAGAGCCCCTGCCAGGGCCTGCAGGGGCTCCAGGAGAGCTGCACAGCCCCTGGGGACAAGGCAGGGATAGATGGGATATTGGGAAGGAATTCCTGACTGTGTGGGTGGGCAGGCCCTGGCACAGGGTGCCCAGAGAAGCTGTGGATGCCCCAGCCTTGGAAGTGTTCTGGCCCAAGTTGGACTGGGCTTGGTGTGGTGTCCAACCCTTTAGGGGAATGGAGCATCCAAGATTCAAAGGTGCTCATGGTCAAAAGGAATGAAAAAATTCAGAGTGTTCACAAAAGCTTTCCAAGTTAAATTACACACTTGGCATGGAAATTAATGTTGGTCTCTGACCTCTTCATATAAGCCCAGGGCAGCGGGTTTTGGATAAAGGGGTAGGGTGAAAGGGAAGAAAGGATAAAAGAGGGGCAGAGAGGAAGAAAGAGGTCACCAGGCTTGGCTCCAGTGTTGATCTGGCTGGTGGAGTGTCTAGGGTCCTGGTGTGCCTGTACATAAGGTCTTGGTGGGGGCACCTTTAACAGATGACTTTCCCTGCCCTGGAGGTTACTTTCTCACTTTCTATGCAAATTTATAATCTGCGGTTCATTCTTCATTTCTTTCTGATAATGAATTGGAGGGCTTCAAGGGTCTCTGGTGGTCTTAATTCCCTGTACAGTCCTAGACTGCTTCTAGGCTTCATTGCTGGGCTGTGCTGTGTTTGTCTCCAGGAACTAGAACAAGGATGTTTCTCCCAGAAAAATGCTGCCCAATCTCTGAATGGCCCATTTTCCAGCCACATGCTATTGTTCCTCACAGCTGTGTTTTTACCAACAAACCTTGATTCTTGTTACCAACAATCTGTGGTTGGCTCTACAATTATCCAGCTATTGGTGTTTGAGGCACACAACCTCTAATCTTCTGGGCTTCTATACTCAGGCCAACCAGATTTAATCCATGAAACAGATAGCAGCTAACAAGCAAGCTCTGAGTAATGTCCATGTGTTAGAGAAAACAAATTACTTGTTGGTGGAATTGCCTTGTCAAGCTTGATACACTTCAATGATCTCAGACCTAGAGGGAGATTAACAAGAAGAAAGGATGTAACACTGATAGCAGGCACAGAGAATGCAGAGTTTACAGGCCACAAGGACATCTGCTTGAACTTCCAAGATGAGAAAGAAACTAATGAAGTGAACCCAGCACCTGTGCTGAAACCAGCTCTGACTGGGTAAACAGTAATTCTGACAGGGGGAATCTGTGACAACTGATCCAAGAAACCCACCGACCCAAAAGAAGAGAAAGACTGGGCATGAAAAACAGTAGAATCATTAACCAATACTAATTAATAAGAGAATTATGTAACATAGCCGGTGAACACTAGTTCCTTTGTATTCTAAAATGTATAAATTGTTAAGCATTTTGATTGTTCTAGAATACCACTAAGCATGCAGTCTTGCACAACCCTGCAATAAATAATCAATGTTTCTCTGGTGTGTCTAATCACAGGCTTATTGCACAATAGGTAAGGAATCAAATTTTTGCAGACAGCATTGTCACTGCCCCATCCGTTTTCCTGCCCGATACTGAGCCCCACCAGCTTTGCACCCCTCAAGATTTATCAGTAGCTGTATCAGGACAGCTATGATTAAGCAGCTGCATATTGTGAGCTTCGCTTTTTTAAGGAAATCAAGATGATTACAAGAGGAATGGCAGTTTGGATGAGAGCCACGAGGATTGAAGTCAGCAGGACTGAGCAGTCAGTACCTGGGAGAAGAGTAATTCTGGCAGCGGGAGATTGTGGCCAGCATCTCATTGACCACCAACTCAAAACAGACTAACTAAATTGAAAAGTGAGAGGTTTAACTAGGAAAGAAGGGTAAGAGTGGTAATTAATTGAAGTGGTAGTTAATAGAATGGTACTAACTAACCGAGAAGTTATCTAACTTGTAAGCAATGAATGCTGACGCCTTTGGTTGTTGAAATGTATAAACAGAGTAACGTTTTGATGATGGATAACCTCGACATCCAGCTACCTGCTTTCTGCCAACTAGAAAAAGACAAAAATACCTCGCCTCGGTATGTGAAATGGTGCTGCACACCGGGGAACGAGCCCGCGGGGTAACACTTCTGTCCCTGATTCTGTAACTGTCCCTGCTCCTGTCTTTATCCCCGTTCTCTTCCGTGCCCGTGTCCCTACCCTTATCTATGTCCCTTTCCGTGCTCCTGTCCTTGTCACTACCCGTGTCCCCGCCTCTGTTCCGGTCCGTTTTCCTTCTCGCGTGCCTGCCCTTGTCCCTATTCCTTCCCGTGTCCCTGCCCTTGTCCCATCTCCGGTCGCCCCTCACTCCCCGCCCCTTCCGCCCGCTCAGGGCCATTTCAAGGACACATCCTGCAGCGGTTTTTTTTTCTAAAAGCCTCATTTAGTGTTCTATTTTGTTTTTAAAAATTATTTCTATTATTTTTATTGCCCATTGTACATATTCGTGTATAAACGGACAGACAGGTAGATATACACCCACGCATCCAAACCAGGGGCACGGGAAGCAGTTCCCTGGCGCTCCCCGCCCCCTGGGCGCGGCCTCGGCGCCAAAAGGGGCGTGAAGCGCCGCGGCCATTTTGTGTGCAGAGCGCGCGGCCGGCAGCCGTCAGCGTCCGCCAGCCTCAGCCTCCCCCGGGACCCGCCGCCGCCGCGATGCTCTCCGCCCGCGTGGCCGCCGCCCTCGCCCGCTCCCTGCCGCGGCAGGCCGGCCTGGTGAGCGCCATGCCCGCCCCGGAGCCGGCGGGGCCGGGGGGACGCGGCGCCGCCGCCATCTTGGGGGCCGCTGTGACATTGAGGGTGTGAGGGGGTGACTTCGGAGTTTGGAGAGGGAAGCACGGGGTCTGCTGTCAGCGCTGTGGGACAGATCCCGCTGAGGAACAGGGTGTCCCTGCACGGGCTCGGGGTAGTGGTTTAAAGCTGTCAGGGCAAGGTCAAGGTTGTGGGGGTGAGGGGTTTATCTCTCTCTCATGCCCTCAATGTTTGTGAGGAAACGGAGGGTGGGAAGAGCCGTGAGGAACCAGTATTTCCAATGAATATGAACGGGGAAGAGGCCTGCTCAGGGCGCAGGTTAATAAATGGCATCACCGTTGCTGCATGCTTTTGCATTGGGAGCATTGCTTAAAATGCAAAAGCATGATATAATGCATTCATTATCACATTTTTTTTTTCCATCTTTAGTGTTCAAAGTCGGCCATGAGAAGAGCTTTTTCTCAGGGAGGGTGATTAGACAT